GAATGCTGAATGTGTTGCAGATCACTCGATACACATCTTGCAAAGTCAAACTGAACACCACCATGCTTTGTAATAAACCGTTTGTTAGTTTTGAATGTGAGACAGATAACTTGAGCCTTTTGAAAGACATTTTATATGGCATTTTCTCATGAACATTTTGCCGTGCAATTTACAACGATGTCTGTTTCTCAATAGCTTCAGTGATCAGTTGTGTCTTGCTACTGATTAAAAGGACCACAGAGGGTAAATATTTTGACAAGCAAGCCGTCATCTCTCCAGCCTTTGCACTGTTTGCATTATCCACAACAGGACCTGTAGTCAGGATCAGTGGAACATGTTCTTAGGAATATCTCCAAGTCCAAGCAGGAACAGTTCAGGTCATTCTGGACAAACTCTGAAACCATAACACTGGTGGTCCATTTTGCAGTTTGATTTCTTTCTAAATCTCCCGGTAGCTTAAGAATTTCCTTTTTGATAAAGCTTATAGTGAGGGCTGGTTCAAGTCAAGCCTGAGCCACCAACATTGTGATTCTGATCCACAACGGGGACATTTATGTTATTACAACAGCAGAAGTCTAATAATAAAAAACACAATAAGTAAAAATAAATAACAGATAAGTAAACCATTGTGAAAAACAATCTAAGTTGTCTTATATATTTTTGTTTATTATAAGTGACCATATAAAATGATAGAAGTACAGTAGCTGGTACTATTTACTGTATCTAGTTCTGCTGCTATAGGCTTAGACTGTTGGGGGACTTTTCCCTCTCTCCCCCCATTTCTCTCTCATCATTAGATTCACCAGTAAGGAGCCGTATAGCTTAATAAAGCCAGGCCACAACCCAGTGCTCATGGTTGATATACACATAGGGTGTCAAATGTTGCATGTTGGCTGACGTGGTTTATGCCACGCTTTGTCTGTCCATACCCTGATAACAACTGGAACAGGTTAGCGGGATGAAAGGATGAGAAGATGGATAGAACAGATAGAACAGAGCTGGGCATTACATGAAAGCAAGAGAGCAATACAGGCCTACGCAGTCTGGGTTTTGGATGGCCTTTCTGATCCCTGTCTCTAATCTGATGGACTACCTTTTTATTTTCTTCCTCCCGTCGTCTCCATCAAGATATCTCTTTAACACCCGTATAGTGTCAGTTCAGGCAGCATGCAAGTGAAAGTATGTGATAAAAAGCAGCTGATCTATCTGATTACATGTGATTTGATCATCTTAAATGCTCAAAACTCACTTTTCTGCCAAATGCTGTCATACTATCAAGTGTTTGGACAATGTTAGGACATTTTGAAATACTTTCTTGCCTTTCAGTATAAGAATGCAGGTAAACATCAGGTTAAGTTATTAAGAAGTACACTGGAAACAGCAATTATTTCATATGTAAAAGAATCATTAAGCAATGTTCTGTCTGGTTCCTCATCGATTCCTAAGAGAGCTTTGAACCTCCTATGCATACTTCTAAATTGCTGGTTACACACAAGCGTCAAGCAATGAGTGCAGGGGTTTGGATATGGTAGACCACTGTTTGTGGTTTCACACAAAATCTTACCTTTCATTCCTGTTTTTTTTTGCTTCCAACATAATTAAACATTGCACTTCTATAACATTATTGGACTCACAATTGGACAGTTATTAAGAAAATATCAAAGTCAAGTCAAAGTCAACTTTATTGTCAATCTTCCAGTTTGTATGTACAGACAGAGAAATTCCCACAATCCCGAATATAAAAGCAAATGTATATAAAAATATGTGTGCAAATATGTGTATATATATATATATATATATATATATATATATATATATATATATATATATATATATATATATATACAGAATCAAAGACACATTTGTACATGTGCACACATTAAGACCTAAATAAAAACACAACAATCAATATATACAAAATAAAAGTCACTTCAATATTTGAGAATGTGCATTATTGTCCATAGAATGTGCAAAATATTAGTGCAAGATTGTCCATAGAATGTGGATTATTGCCAGATTGTCCATAGCAGCGTAAAAGTGTCAAGGCCGATAAAGCAGGACCATCTTATTTACTCTATTTATTCTTCTTTTTGTCAAATGTACCCACAATCCTACCCATTTTTAGAAAGTTTTGCCAATCATTTTGGGTTATTCTTGCTAAGACTCAAGCCACTAGCCTTAAGCCCAGAGGAGGCTACATGTTTGTTAAGTGAACTTTTTTTAACTCCACATCCCTCTATTTGTATTCCTCCCATCCTGGTGACAGCCAAGGTGGGAGGCATTATTTCTTCAAGTTTTTTGTGTGTACATCTGTACATTTTATTTTGGTGAACATGAATTAGGGAATTTGGGACAAGCAGCCCCATGGGTTAATTCAATATAAATTCAGTCAAATTTACAATAGGTTGAATTGATGAAGTGTTGACATGGATGTAAACTGCGATGGCGGAAGAATTTAACCTTGAGCAGTTATTTTAGTTTTCATTTCTGACTTGGTTGAAGCATTCAGCTCCAACCGATGCTGACATCACTTGAGGTAATAAATCAGACTTTGTGCAGCTCCCTATGGAGCCACAAATACTGTATGCAACAGTTTCTTTCGAAAATTCCTTAGTCCTCCCTAGCCCTGTAAACAGATTTTAATATGTTTCTTTCCTCACCAACTTCCTCCTGCTCTTCCTGGTGGATCATTCAGCCCTCTCAGTTAAGCCTGAATACTATGCAGTCCTTAGTGCATGTTAACTGAGACCCCCGAGAAGTATCCCTATCACTAAACCAAGCAGCCTCTGTGTTCACCTTTCTGTGGAAGAGCAGTAACTTAACAACTAGGGCCAAGCACTTCCTGTTCATTGACCAGCCATTTCGGGCAAATCCTGATAACCAATGTTTGTATTTACAGTCTGATATTAAAGAATATGTGTTTTTTGGCTTTGATAGCTTTGCATGAAGGCACTATTCTTTCTACGCCACCATATTATTATACAGTTTGTACAAGTCACAAGAAAGTGCTATTTCACTGGGTGTCCCCCAGGGGTCAGTACTGGGTCCACTCCTATTCATCATATATCTCCTCCCCCTGGGCACAATCCTCCGTCACCATGAGGTTAATTTTCACTGCTACGCTGACGACACACAGGTCTACATTTCCTCCAAACCCACCACTGCCCTGCCCTGCCCCCCACCTCCCTCACCACCTGCCTTGAGGACATCAGGAGCTGGATGAGCAGGAATTTCCTGAAGCTTAACGGTAGCAAAACTGAGGCCCTGCTCATCGGCTCCAAATCCACCCTCACCAAGTCACAAAACACCCCAGCACCAAACATCATCATCGACGGCTTCCCCATACCATTCTCTGCCCAAGCGAAAAGCCTCGGTGTCATTCTGGACGGCTCCCTCTCATTCGCACCACACATTAAAAACATCACCCGCACTGCCTTCTTCCATCTTCGGAACATCTCCAGACTCCGCTCATCTCTGTCCCAACCCAGCACTGAAATCCTGGTCCACTCATTCGTCACATCCCGGATCGATTACTGCAATGCACTTCTGACTGGCCTTCCCATCAAACTCATTAATAGACTGCAAATAATCCAGAACTCTGCTGCCCGGATCATCACCCGCACCAACTCATCCACATCACCCCCATTCTCACTCAACTCCACTGGCTTCCTGTACGCTACCGTATTGACTACAAAAATCTTCTACTCACTGAGTTATAAAGCTCTCCATAACCTTGCCCCCATCTACATCACCGACCTCCTTCAGGAGTACACCCCCTCCCGCACCCTCCGCTCTTCGTCCGTAGGACTTCTCACCGTCCCAAGCTCTCGCCTCAAAACCATGGGTGCTCGAGCTTTCAGCTGCTCAGCTCCCAGACTTTGGAACTCCCTGCCACTACATATCCGACAGTCTGATTCCATAACAACATTCAAAACCCAACTCAAAACCCACCTGTTCAAACTGGCATTTTCTTTATAAACTGTACCCTGTGTCCTTTTGTGTCCTTTTGTAGTCCATTTACTGTTGTTTGTCTTGTCTTACCCCGGCTGATATTTTACTAAATCCACTGTTTTAATTGTTCCCTATATTGCCCCTATGCCCTGTAAGGTGTCCTTGGGTGCTATGAAAGGCGCCCCCCCAAATAAAATGTATTATTATTATTATATTCCCCAGCCACAGCCCTTTAGCTGTGGCACCTCATGGTCAGTCTCACAGTGATTTGAGTGGTTGAGTTCTTATTCAGGAATCCACAGGTTTTTAATAATGATCACTGTCCATGTGATTTAGCCTTTTACAGCTTTCAACACAGAAAGGCTAAACTAAATGAGCTTGTGGACAAAAAAGCAAAGAAGAATATGTAGGAATTATATTCTTTACTTACAATGGGGACTGTGTGTAATAACTGCTGCAAAACAGAACAAATTAAAGCTGCTAAGATTGAAATCATGTTGTGTTTTGGACACACCTATTTATTCGTTTTTTCAAAAAATAAATAAGGATGTTAATGTGCCATACCTCTTGTTTATCTAAACTGTTAATACATAACCTTTTGGTGTGTTGCTTACTGTATGCGTTCCATCCTGTGTTGCTGTATGAAGACAGATTAGAGAAATATTCTGACGACCCTAAATTATACTTTGCTTCTCTCTGGTTTTCTGCTACACTGAGGTATTGTGAGCTTGCCAATACTGCAGTTACACAACTTCCCCAAGCTGTATCATCACCGTTTCTTATCTGTCGGATTTTATTTATTTGCCCAGCTCTATATTTACCGAGTCTGACAAATCCTATAATTTGCATACATATGTTGTTTGGTTTTATGTGGTGTGAAAAGGAAATAGGTTTTGGCCTGATCAAAAGAGCTGTTTGATCTTGCATGAGTTTAACAGTGGATGGCAGTCAACCAAACAAAAGCCCACCTGGCTGTTCAGATGCAGAAGAACAGAAAAGAACACACACCTCATAATTTACCCTTTCCCCCCCCCCCCTGTCTCTATCAGAGGAAGCATTCTCCGCTCAACACGAAAGTCTGAAGGAGGAGAGAGAATCTTTAACCAAGCTGCAGAAGGAATGCACTGCCAAGAGGTATGTGTGAACCTGTTATTAGCTATTGCTTTATGTCTGCAAAGAAAACACACTTTCTAAATGCAATCATCTCCAGACATTAACCAGAGCCCAGTAGATGATGAGACCCAAAGTGTTGCGCAGTCATATTGAATTGTGATGGGGCCTTACCCTGCTCCCTGCCTCCCACCGTCCTCTTTCAAAACAACACCATGTTTTTGCGGCTGGCGCTGCCTATTTATGTGTTCTCAACAGAGAGTTTGCACTTTGTGCTTAAAAGCCTATTGGCCTGTGTTTGCCTTGGCCTGCGGGTAGACGTGTTCGGAGGTTTTCGACCCTGGATACAGCTTTGTTTGTCTGAGAAGTACCTGGCAGTCACAAAGGCTAAAGCAGAGCCCCACGAAGGCGAGCAGGGGCCAAGATACCTAGCAAACAGGAAATTAACACCGACATTTGTACATCTGCCTTGCATCCATTCCTTGGAAATATCAGTGTTAGGTTTTTTTTACTTTCAGTGAGGAAAAAGTTATGCTGAGCATGCACAGCATTCTCAGCCTATCCACATTCCTGTTTAATATCTCACGGCTGCAGTTGAACAGCTTATCTCACACAATTGGGGCTAAAAGGCATCAGTTAGTTAAACATCTTTAATTGTTGAAGCTGTAGTTGTTGAGTGTACTTTTTGGAAACAAGAAAGGACTCTACTTTGAATCTCTAGATCCCATAGCATGCTTAAAGTGTAAAACTTGAAGTAAATTAACTAAAGTACTGTTCTTTTTTACAATGAAATTTGACACTGGACTTAAGTATAGAATAATACTACTTTATAGTTCTATTTCGTAACATTTATTAAGGACTTTTGCGGATGTATATGAAGAAATTAACCTATAATAAGCTTATGAAATACAGCCTTGTTAAGGGTTAAACCAGTAGTTACCAACCTATCTTGGCTCTGTAATGGTAAATTGTAATTCAACCCCCTCAAAGAGCTTTTACATATACAAGTCATCATTCTCCCATTCAAACACATTCACACAGGTATAGGCTGGCTCACCTGCTCTTGGAGACATTCACACACATTGGCACACCATTGGCTATGCCATCGGGAGCAATTTGGGGTTAAGTGTCTTACCCAAGGACACATCGGCATGTTAATTGCAGTGGCTGGGATCGAACCCCCAACTTTCTAATTGTTAGATGACCCCACTCACAGCCATAGTCACTTGTAAACCCTTTCAGTAACGCAATGTCTACTGCGTCGACCATTGTCATGTTTCAGATCTCAATTAGTTGTTGGCTCTTCCAAAGATCTCCCCTCTAAACTTCTCAGGTGTTTTTTGGAGTCAAAAAAAAAATAATTCTATTTCGTGGAGCAAAACTCTGTTTTTCTTCTTCCCAGCCCCATTAATGACCTCATAACCCAACCCCCAGATTTATCTTGTAAGCCATTGATTGGTCTGACCCCTAGATTGGAGCCACCAGACAAAACTAACTCTTACATTTTCAGGTAAAGCAGTGCTACGTATACATTCATGCATCAGTGTTCCAAAAACGTTTCTGCTGCAGAATGAGTACTTTTACTGTAGAAAGTATAAGTATACATTTTGGGAAATACTTTTATATTTTATAAGCACCCAAACGAGGGTGGTATGGAACTTGTCACCTGACTCTCTGCCAGAAGGTATACCAAAATGTTGAACTCCTCCTTTATGTACTGTTAATTTGCCTATTTTAGTAACGGTGTTTTCACCTTGGGACACATTAAGATGAGGCATTTCAGATCTGGATAGATGAGTTAAGTCAAATCAAACATTCATTACACACCCATCTGTCTTTGCTTTTACAGAGATTTCCCTAGGAAATGGAAATGATAAGAGCCTACTAACCACAGTCAAAGCCTAAAAGGATATTTGCGTGTAAGGCGAGGAGAATGGATGGCAGGGGGCATCACATTCAATAACCATTTACCCCCAAAAATCCCTTTTTGTCTCCATGAAATGATGGGCTATTACCCATAAGTAGTGGTATAAGTATTGTAGAGGACACCCACGCACTATTCATCCAAAGCAGCCCATCTGTCTTCTGGAAGTAACTATTTTAGCTGCAGAGATGTAAAATATGTTTTAATTGGGAAACAGTTTCAAAAACGCAAATACTAGATTATTTGAACAAAACAGTTAACAAGCAACAACCCTATTCAGCACATAGGGTCTCGGCTAGTCATTTCCTTTCTAGAAAACCCTGGCTCTGAGGTTATTTTTTTATATTTGAAACAAGGGTAGGCCAATTTATTATTATCTCCACACAGGTCTGAAATTATTTGGTAATTATAGTATATCTTAATGATTTTCATGTAAATACACCTTTGGGTTCTGTTGTGGTCAAACAACACAGCGTGCAAACCACTTCATTTCAAGTACACACAGAGCTCAGTACTCACTGCACGATACTTTACAAGTTGACCTGAACGACTAATAATGACTGTTCTAGTATGGATATAAAATTACTAGTAAATTGGTATTTTACAGTAAAGTTGCACTAAATTGGCTCTCCAATAAGTAACTACGCTTTCATCAATACAAAGACCTATAAGGACTACAGTACATCTGGGTGGCTCCTGCTCCTGGGGTTAATGGGCGTCGACCAATCAGAGGGTCAGTGGTTCAATCCTGAGCCTGTCAAAGTGTCCTTGGGCAAGACACTTATGGCGCCTTTCCACTACAGCGCGGAGCTCGCTTTAAGCCTGCCGAGCCGTGCAGGGCCCGTTTTTGGTTGCGTTTCCACTTGGCCTAGTACCGGCTAGCGGGTCCTAATTCACAGTTTTTCTGGCCCCATAAAATCGTGGTTCTAGGGCCAGGAACAACCAGGCTGAGTCGGGCTGAGTATGCTAAACTAGAGAAAGAATCGCTGGCAAGGGGGCTACAACTACAACAAGATGAACATATTTGACCGTGATTTAATTGTAATACACGTTTCAAAATGATGCCGAAGTAACAACATACTGATACCGGTTAGTAAAAACCATGAATTAATGCTTTGACAAGTCTGCAGACAGACGGCAGGCGAAAAACCTTTTAAAATGCGTGTTTTCTAAATGGAGATTGGCTAAGCTAACGTTGTATATGCTCCGACCGTCCACACTCACAACAACGGCCTATACAGACATAAATAAACCAGCGACTGTATTCGCCATGACACAGGCAGTCTGTGGTTTGTACTTGTTTAACTTTTGTCTAGTTTCTGAACAGATATGAGGAGCTGTGAGCTCTGAGTGCTAACAGCTAACGGCTGTGTTGTTTTTCTGGGGTTCTCATTGAAGATGACGTCACGGCTCCGCCTACACTGCGTTACTATAGATACTAGTTCCAAAACTGTAATGGAAATGCGCCATAAAGTGAGCCAGTCCTAACGAGGCCTAGCCATACCGAGCGAGGCCGTGTAGTGGAAATGCGCCATTAGACTGGAGCCACACGAGAACGGTAACGCAAACAAACCGAATTCGATATCAAAAAAGTCTTCCGTCCACACGCAAAAGGCACCAGAAACGTGTCCGTTCACACGAGGCCGCTCGAAAGCGCTGGAGACGCTGTAGTACATATGCCGGGCCTGTAAGTGGCGTTGTACTTCTGCCACAAAATACACCAAAAGCAGCGAGGAAGACTTCCATGGTTGCCATGGTTGCCATGGTTGCCCTTCTGTTTATTCTCCACGGTGGCTCTTTTTCTCCCTCCCCGAGGCAAGCGTTTGCTCCTGCTGTAGATCTCTCCGGTAGTCCAACAGCAGATGAAAAACACCCACCTCTCCGCCTCTTCCAAGGGACGATGGGACCCTGCGGCAGAGTTTCCGTTAGAATTTATTTTTCGCCGGTCAAAATGTCCGTTAAAGTTAAAATCTTCCGGACAAAATTTGAAAAGTGCCGGTCAGAGGTCTTCTTTGTTATTTATTGAGCTTTAAAACAAATTGATAACGACTATATATAATAATATAAGCATAATAAATGGAGCCTCTCTTTTCCTCCTCCTCTTCTGACAGCCCAGCAGCTGATCTCTGAGCAGGAGAGGTGGGGAGAGGCGGGGCTATTGCTTCATCGTTATCAGAAAATGATCGTATTGGGCGTAGACACGGAGCTGTTTGGCCCCCCAGAGCGTTGCGTCCCCAGATCTGCCCACCTTGGGACCCGTTATGTGTTATGTGTCTTATAGAAAATAAGGATTCAAGTGAAGAGGTTGTCTTTGATCTGTTCATCATAAATCTATTAAGTTCATAGTGGGACCCTGTGAAGCAGCCATCAGCAGTTTCATTTCCACTTCCTCCTATCACTTTCAACAAAACTGCGTCACCTACCTTCTCATCTCTGCTCTTCCTTTAGTCCCCCCTCTGAATGTCCTCCTCTCGTAGCTACAGCGCGTGTCTCCTCCTGCTGCCGGTTACTCACTGTGTCGTATTGTCTCCCCAGAGAGCAGTTCCTCAAGTCCAACGCCCAGCTCACCTTCCGCTGTCGGCAGCTCCTCTCTGAGCTCTCCTACATCTACCCCATTGATGTGGTGAGTTGAAACTGGTGGTACACTGTTGCACAACACACTGTTGACAGGGCAACTGCAAGAATGATCTGGTCCCAGCACCACGGCTTTGATCAGGTAGAAAGGGTGCAGATACTGTGTTGCGTTCACAACAGTTCAAAGGAATGCTGTGAGTGTTATTTCTACTGCAGTGTTTTAGGAGATAATCCGGAGGCATCACCTTTCTGTTTCACGGGCCTCTCTGATAAATATGACAGTCCTTTTTAGTATATATTTTCTATTTTTTTCTCAAACTATGTATGAAATCAATGAACCAAATGTCAAAAATTACACAGGAAAAGTATGTATTATAGTAGCTATAATTTGATCATCGAGAAAAGCTCATGAAGTCATGACTGCTGAACGATATGTGGAAAGAAGGCTATATAGAGCGCTCTGCTAAACATGAACCTGGCATTGCTCTTATTCTCTTCGATTAATGATGAACAATAGAATGCTCTGGCAGTACCAGAGCATTCTTTTGTTTGTTAAGATTATCCAGCCAAAATAAATGAGATTCTTCCAGATTAGTGGAACTCCTTTCTAGTTGTCTCAACTTTTGTTTTAGTTTGTGCTAAAGCTATGGAACCTTCTTCTTTTCTTTTTTTTAGTGGAGCGACATTTGCAGCCAGACTCTAGCACTGTCAACAACATGATCAATTTAGAAGGACTAAAGTTAGCGTAGGAGCCCTCCGTTACACTGACACATGTATTGACTTGAACAGATAGAATCTCTAACTGTCAGATAGACTTGTGTACATTTTGATTAAAGCCAATCAAATATAATGATGGGCTAAATGCAATATTAAGGCTATTATTTTGCATGACACGACACACAATGATGGAATCATTTAAAATCAGTGCCTCTGCCAAAGCTGGTGTTCCAGGTTTCATCCTGTCTGCTTTCTGTGTCTGATCATTGTCTTTAATATGAAACCTCCTATTTACATCCACAGGCCAATCAGTCAGATTATGTCATCTGCGAAGTGAAGCTGCCGAACTCTGAAGACTTTCAAGGTAATTGTATTACGTGCCCGCTTGTGAGTGTCTGGGTTACAGGAGGGTGTGGTGAAGCATGCAAAACAAACGCTTGTGGTTATGTAAATGTTTGGTGAATAGAAACCAATTTGAAGACCGATGATCTCATACATACAGTATCTATGATATCATACCTTTGGCTACTGTACATGGCAATTTGGCAGGGGGTATAACAGTCTTTAACGTGCATAAATGACATAATTTTATAATTACCGGTATGTATTTAAATGCACAAAAGACATAATGATATAATTGTGTCATCAATAGTTTTACTAGCTGGGAAAAGTTGACATTCTTATTAACTCTGTCTAGTTCTATATAATAAAATGTAGACACACACAACACCTGTTGCCTCAGATACTGTGTGAGTATCACACTCCCTCGAAACGGCACGTACGCAAACACCTTCCTAGGTGTGTTCTCATCAACTATCTTTGTATGTATTTTTCTTCTTCTTTCTCCTCTCTTGACTTTTTAATATTTAACAAAAGTGTTTGGAGCCAGGCATGTTGGACTTGGTTTGCATTCTTCTGTTTCTCTAAACACTTAGCCTTTCTGATCTGTTGTTGGCTGTATATGGAGGAACTTTTCTGTCCACCACAATCTTAAAAAGTTTTGTCACAAGACTGGTTCCAGCCCACCAATGTGACACAGCTACAATAGAGTGGTGCAAGAATGAGTCCTAAAACCCAGAAATGAGTTAGCATTTTACAACATGTGGTTTCCTCGTCTCAAAGTCAACAGTCTTTTGAATATGTTTTGGTTATATGCCTAAAATAAGATTTCTGGCTAACACAAGCTGAAGAGTTTTTCACGTTTTGTTCTAAGACATGAGATTTGCAGTAAATAACCTACTGGTGAATGTCTGAGGCTTTTTTGTGTCATAACACAAAGGTTGGTTGACAAGTGGCTAACTGAGACTAGTATAAGGAACTATAAACTAGTACGTTTATAGCCTAATGTTAGCTTTTTACTTCTGTTGATTGCATTTATGCTTGAAAACTCAAACAAACAGGTGTTTATATGTGGAGATTATCCTGCTGAACAAAACATGTAATTATTCACACTTGTGTTTGCAACAGATCTTTTGCAGTATTCCAAACTCCCATTGCTTTTTCGTTGAGAGAGCCTTTCATTTCATTTCATTTCAAACCTTTATTTAACCAGATTGGTCCCATTGAGATCATAGATCTCTTTTTCAAGGGAGACCTTTGCGATGCTAACTTCTGGAAATACGCAATCACTGCACCTCTCTATAACGGCATGGTTTAATATCAAATACACAATATAAGGCATCAAAACTCTCAACAACACATTTTTGTCAGTAGGCAGATTCTGCCAGAAAGCCCTTATTATCATGTGGGTGTGGTAGGTCAGGGTTAGGGTCGCCCTCTGTGTGGTGATGAATGGGGATTGCTGTGACAGCGACGGAACTTGATGACTTCATGACCCCTCTATAGCTCAGATGAATTGGAGGAGGGGGGGGGTTATGAATGATTTGCTCTGGCCCGCAGCACTTGTCCTACACTGAGAACACACTCGCCACTGTCCACTCCACATTCTCCAGCTCTCCAACTTCACAGCTGGTGTGGCCGAGCACGTCTCTGAAGCCATAACTCACAAATACTCCCAATCTCCCCGCTCCCCGCTGTCACACTCCACCTGTTAGCTTCTTTTAGAGCACAGTGGTCACAGCCAGCCCATTTGTGTTCGCAGCTATCACTTGTTCCCATAAGGTGGAGGCCTGTGTCTGCTTCTGCCTCCCAGTGTTGCAGAGGTGGAAACCTAGCAGTGAGTAAACGACCGAGCATGTGCTGTGGCAGAAGATAACACAGAACTCCCTAAAACATGTAACTACCTTCCCCCCTCCTGGTCAGGTGGCTTGTGGTTTGTGAAGTTTAGAGAAGAGCTGTCATGCCATCTAGGTATACTTAAAAAACTGAAACCTTGACTTTAATTACAAATATTATGTCAACAAATCTCACATAACTGTATTAGGTTAGTTGAAAGCAATAGTATTAAGTTGAACCTAATATTTTGTATTTAAACTTAATATTATTGCTTTCAACTAACCTAATACATATGTGAAATCTGTTGACATAATAGACTTATTTCAAGTCCACGCTTTAGTTTTTTCAGTGTAGACATTAATATTCATCATCTAACATAACCTCTGTGTCCATTAGACTTCCTGCAAAAGGCAGTACAATATGCACAGACCTGAGAAAGAGACAATGAAAGCATGCATGTTACCATCAATCATTCACATTTTATTTATATAGCCCAATATCACAAATTACACATTTGTCTCAGGGGGCTTTACAGTGTGTGCAGCATACAACACCATCTAACCTTAGATCCTTGACACGTACATGGAAAGAAACCCCCCAAAAACCCCATAATTAAGAGGGGAGAGCAAGGAGGAGGCAGCTCTTCCCCAGGATGGACAGTCGTGCAATAGATGCTCTCTTGAGAGAGAGAGAGATTTATGCAAAGTATTTCCGAGGCACACCTTCATATGATCATTATAGTTAGGCTATAAAACAATAAGAGAATAAATGAAAAACAGTTATGAAATACTATATGACAGTAAAACAAGAATAGAGTTTAAAAGGGGAGTGATTAGTAAAATATCCATAAAGAAAAAGTACATCTGTTTACAGTTCTGTTTCATATGGGTGTTGAGAGAGGTATCCATAGATCTCTTCATTTTGCTCTCAAAGTGCACCAGATTGATGCTTTTAACTTCAATATTTAAAAAAAAAATAAGCCGTGAGCTGATTATCGAGCCTTCATTGTAACAGTCGTGGGTGTAGCCTACTGTATGTGCGTGTGGGGAGTGTTGCAGTAGAACATTTCACTGTAGCCCATAGCTACATTAATGGGAAACCCTACATGTTTGAGCAACCTCTATGAAGCGGCAAGCTACCCCACAGCACCCCCAACAGAAAATCGTAGGTAGATAGATAGATAGATAGATAGATGGATAGATAGATAGATAGACGGATAGATGGATATATAGATAGATAGATAAATAGATGGACAGATAGATAGATAGATGGATAGATAGATAGATAGACGGATAGATGGATATATAGATAGATAGATAAATAGATGGACAGATAGATAGATAGATGGATAGATAGATAGATAGACGGATAGATGGATATATAGATAGATAGATAAATAGATGGACAGATAGATAGATAGATGGATAGATAGATAGATAGACGGATAGATGGATATATAGATAGATAGATAAATAGATGGACAGATAGATAGATAGATAGACGGATAGATGGATATATAGATAGATAGATAAATAGATGGACAGATAGATAGATAGATGGATAGATAGATAGATAGACGGATAGATGGATATATAGATAGATAGATAAATAGATGGACAGATAGATAGATAGATAGATAGATAGATAGATAGATACAGTAGATGAATGGATAGATGGATGGATGGATAGATAGATAGATAGATACTTCATTCATCCCAAATTGTGAAATGTGTGGAAACAAGTATAAACATAATAACATTAAATACTATGAAGGCTTACCTAAATACGTTGCTTTTCTACAGATTACCTTACCACTGCACTGGTAAGGTAAAACTAGGCCGATTAATAAGATGTGAAGTGCTTTGTAACTTTGACCCGCTTGACTGAATACAAAAAGAACAATGAAGAAAGTTGAACCAATAAACTAACACAAACTAACTGTATCACTATAACATGATGATGATGGTGATAAAGAATGCATCTAACTTTGAAATCATGCGGAAATGTCGTCATCAGCAGGCCATCACGTGGTTTCCGAAAATAACCGAGTGACACGAGTAGATTTTAGCCGAGACCGGCGGAAAGTTTGTCTCAAAACTCGACAACGACAAATAAAAAATGGATTCACAAATGCCTGATCGAAAGTTGTAAATGTTAAAGAGATATTCAAAGATCTTTTTTTTATTTGTAAAAATATTTAGCGTATTTGCAGATCCGTTTAACATTTGCAAATGTATTTGTGAGTTTGCAAATCTTTTAAATGCATTTGTGGATGGTGTTTTACATTTGCAAATCACATATTTACACACAAATTATTTTTATGTTCACACACATAATTATGAGACATATCTAAGCCCATAATTCCATTGCACACCGTTGCTCACCCCTGCTCTGTTTGTGTGAGGTCTGCCCGGAGAAAGCAAGATCAAGTCCAGAGCTGTCCGATGGTGTGGAGGTCAAACAGGCCTGCAGGGGAGGATGTTCCCCATTAGAGGCCAGGGTCAGGGTTAGGGTTAGGGGAGTCCTAATCCTGCTGTGGAACAGAGTGGCACTCTGCTGAGCCCTTCAGTGTTTTAGGCTCTCTTTGTCAGCTCAGCCTGACAAGATAGGAGCTGTCTCCACTTGCACCCTAAGGTGTCCTTTAGTTATTCCTGTTAGTGTGTTAGTGTGGTAACAGAGATCATGAAGCTGTTTACTCCAGGTGCTTTTGGAGCTATGGAATTGATCAAATACAGGGAGAACAATGGTACAACGTAGTGCTTGGCGGTATACCATTTCAGACCGAATACCGTGAACTTTATACCGTTTGATATTCATTTTTCATATACCGCAATACCGTTGAAAAAGTGGCGAATGGCGCTCGAGCTGTGCAGGAGACTCCTTTCACTGCTGCACCACTGAAATGCATGCTGAGGCAGAGTGCCAAGCTTAGTAGCAGTAGCATAACATGTGAAGCAGAATGTTAAGATAGACACTGAAGACAATGAGACTGGAGATGGAGATACATACGACACACAAGAAAAACTTGTGCCGAGGAGTTGTGTCTGTCGTTACGAGTTTTTTTGGATTAAAAAAAATCTAAAATGGACCAAACAAACATTAATTGTAAATGTTGTTGAACTAAAATTGTTGCCCAAGGAGGTAACACAAGTCATATACTCCACCACCTCAACAAAAAGCACTTATGAAGAATGTATGAAAATACGATCAGCTTCAACAAGCAACGCTGGTGAAACGTCTAAAGTCGAGTCAAGCATCGCTAGAAGACGCTTTTGTTCGAGGGACCGTCTGTGATAGGTAAAACGTATAAATGTAAATACATTTCCAATCATTGAAAAATGAATAAATACTGTGATATACCGTGATACCGTTATCATATGTTTTTTGTCATTGCGCCCAGCCCCAACGTAAGCTTTCTGTTTCAGAAGAAACAGCATGAGCCAAGGAACATACTACGCACAATTGCCATAGTCTATTATTTCCGCGCATTAAGATAAAAACCAGGTTATTTTAAATCTTTGCCTCAAGCAATGTCCTGCTGCTGTTTGAGAATGTGAAACCACTTAGTGTGTTGTCTTGAAACCATTCCTCGTACTTGAAGCAAGATGCTTCTCTGTCAGAAATGTTCACAGAGGCATACAGTTTCCACCCTAAAGTCTCAGGCGGGCTCAGAGGCTGGATGCTTTTGCTTCTCAAGCACATATCTGAACAAAATTGGGGATCCCACTGCAACCAAAGTTTTTTGGGACTTTGTAAGTTCTGCCAAATTCTGTATCACTTTCAAAACAGCATCCCACATGAATGCAGCTGCTCTCCTTCCTGTGGATACCAAACTATCTTTGGTTGGAACTGTATTTATTTTTGTTTGTGTTCCCAAGATGTGGACATGGTATATGTAAACACAGTTTAGTTTTCCATGTAATGAAAGTGAAAGTCCATACAAAACATACATTGCTGACTGTGTGATTTGAAGTTGTAATAAAATACTGACTTTTGGATGATTTAAGATGCTTCTGTTTGGAATTGAATTTGCATTATGTTATTCTGTAGGCTTAGAGGCTTTGTTGTCTTGGTGGAATAATAAGAACAACATTTCTGCTTAATGTTATCTAATGTGTGATTTAATTTAATTTATTTTTTACTGTGTCCTGCAGCAAAGGATGATGGGAGCGTGGCGGTCGCCCTGGGTTACACGTCGCACCTGGTGCTGATGATCTCGTGCTTCCTGCAGATACCTCTCCGGTACCCGGTGATCCACAAGGGTTCACGCTCCTCCATCAAGGACACCATCACTGACCGGCTCACTGAGAAGGAGAGAGAGTGAGTAGGCCCAAAACTCCACATGGAAACACACTCAACTAGGGAACATCTCAACAAGCATCTCTCTCATCAAAATACACACTGATGTACCAGTTGGTCTTCCTGCACAAACCCATCTTCCAGGGTTTAGGTTTCTCAAGTGAATTGAATATTAGGAATGACTTTCCATCATTTTTCTAAAAGGTAGCTCCTCATTACAACACATTTGTTACTAAATGATGCTTATAAGCACTTTTACAATCCTACAGTTTTATTGCAATACTATTCTCATGGAGACCTTGAAGAATTCAAACCGCTCCTAAACAGGGTAACTGTGGGGATAGATAGTTTATACCAACATGTGAACATGTAATCCTAACAATTTTGGGAACATTTATTGTTTATAGGGCAAAAGCTAAATCTAATTGAATGTAACTTAACCTCTTACCATTCCCTCCCCTTCTTTTCGAGAGGTGGGGGACAGGGGATGCTCAGGGGTAGAGAAGAAGTCAACAGTATATGAGTTTTGCAAATCATTGGAAAGCTGAAGATTAATGATACAGCTCAGTGTTAATAAAAACATATATCATTATTGAATGAAAAAATGAAGAATGCCTCAGCACATGATGAGAGTAGTATTTTGTTCCCATGCGCTGTTATGGCTGGTAAATTGTTGAAGTTACTTTTAGATGAACACCTTTTGTTACACAGATTTGGTTCCAAATCTAAACATTTGAACTTGTTTGTAAAAGGAAGATTCAAGTGTTTTTGTTCAGATACTTTCAGCGGGAAGTTAAGGGACCCCTGGGAAGTTAAGGGGCCATGCCAGTTTTTCCGTCGTCAACATGAAAAGACAGTTTAGTAATAAAGCTAAAATAATGGACTTCACACAATATATATAATACTATATTTATGTTTTCAACAGGGCATAAATTCAGATGTTTTATAGTGGTAAGGAATTGTAAACCTACAGAGGCTTCTACTGCTTCACTAAGCATTTTAATATTAATGTAAGGGGAATTTATTTGTATATGAGTGTAAATAGCCAAAGTGGTCTTACATTCTTCAGAATGCATTTCAAGATAGTGAATGCCTTTTTAAAGATTGTTATCAAAAGCTGCCCGGAAAAGGTCTGGCAGGGTTTTGAATGTCAGTTTTATAGTTTTAGTACATCATTTTTTCTCCTTCTTCCCGATAAGTGGCAGTTATCCTGCGTAAACAAAGTAACAATGACTGCAGTAACAATTGTTTGCTTCCCCCGCAGTGCAGAATACAAGAGTTTTTATATTTGTCGTTGTTACACCCCTCAGCTGCATCGTACTACAGTGACCTGTCTTCCATTAGCTTGTGGCAGCCGCAGTTCAGTGTTCTGACTATAAGCAAAAACACATAATGATATTCAGAGGAAAAACTCTGAGATGGAAGCCCCTCGCCAAACCTTTTTTTGTCAAGAAACCAAATTGCTCAACTCAATGTCATCACAGACAAATGCTGCCTCTTATTATGCCTTCAGTGGAAGACCTAATCAATTTATAGTCTGCAATTGTTTTTTTTCAACAAATAAATACTTTTAGCGTATAAATCCCCATACTACCCTAAAATCCAGACTTTGAAAAGATGTTGGCATGTTTGTGTCTATTCTGATGAGAACAACATAGTGAATGAGAGGAGGTGTTTGTGTATCAAAAACTAAAATGCAATGGAGAGATTGTCAGAAGTATTTAGCATGTTCCTCACTTCTACCAGCAGCGTCTGGGGTTTTGAGGTCGATCCCTACCTTGCAAAGTAAAACAATGTGGTTGCTTGGCAAAAAAAACATATCATTCCAATTTTATTTCTTGTAAATGTATAACTTTAATCTGAAAATTCCTTCTTTTCCCCCGACCAAATGTATAACTTTGTCAAAATATAATATTTATTTTTCTCGTGATCTTCCTATTTGATTTCATAAAATATATATTTTTTCGTTTTTCTCAATTCACGACGTTGGTGTTTGAAATAATGAATTTATTAAAAAAATATTGCCCCCCTCACATGGCTTTAAAAAATAAAAACGTATAAAAATCCCCTCACTCCATATACAGATATAAAATAATCCGATGCTAAATGCAGAGAAACCTCAATACATAAAAAAAGCACATCTCACCCTTTCACTACATACCTGCATAGCTTGGCTGGGAGGTGCTGTCTGTCGTTATCTGTTTGTTTCGCCCATGGTAACAACGCGTTCTTCTTTTTTTACTCCGATGTTCAGAGTATGGAGCTCTGCTGAGGGTGTAAATCAAAGTGCCCGTTTAGAACACATGCTTCTGTCACACCCTCGGGCTGTAAGCACTTTGCTTCCTATCCTCACCGCATTATATCATTTTTGTTGAATCAAACTATTCATGATTGAAACTACTATGTTGACATGGAGAGAAGCAAATGAGAAAGCAAGAATCTAACCTCACCTGGGGCTTTGTCAGGGTCGTTTGTCATGAAGTGCACAGGCACTGTTATTACAGCAGGCACGTCGTAATGAAATTATTATTTTTGTATGTTATTCTCTTGTAACTATGCATCAAGGTAGAATAAAAAATCCCTGCTGCGTTATGATAATTGCACGCTTGGGACAGTCAGCCCAGCTATGCACCTTCCACACATACTGACATTCCACACATGCGAGCGCCTCTTCAGTCAGCGTTGGATGGAGAGTGAGGAGGTAGATTATACTGTAATCAGCAGTGTTACTAATAGGCGTGGATGTGGCTTAATATGATTGCCCCCTTTGAGTTGGAGTGAGAAGTCTGGTATGTTCTTGGACAGTAAAAGTATAAAGATGAAAATTGCAGAGTCAGGCTTGCACTCGTCAGCTATTACCTTATGCTCATCATTTAGCTTCTGCTGTGCAGGGCGTTGTTGCCATCAGCAAAATATCAGCGGTCTTTTTTATTTTTGTTTAAAAAATAAATATGAATCCTGTTTATTGCTCAGAACCTGGCCCGGTTCTGGACTACTTTGCATGGGATTGTAGTAAGAGATGTTGGTTCATCTACGACTGGTGTTTATATTAGTGTTATTTAGGACTCTTAGCTGTAATGCCCTGTTTTTATTTGTATCTAAAGCGCAGATCTAGGCCCATCTAAACAGATATGGGTACTTCAGGAACGGTTGTTAGCCTTGTATTGTGTGAGCAGTCTGCTGTGTTCTTCAGGTGTCTGTCAAGTATTGAGCTGGGCTTGTTTAAAGCCTGAAGTAGGCTCATTATAGTAAATCATTTAAAGTGGTAGGAGAAGAGAAGCAGGCCACATGGCGGTGGGAAATCAGGTGATTATAACAGGACTGCAGACCAGAAGCCTCACTTTGTTTTTATTCTCACCTTTTTAATGTAACAGGAGCGTGGCAGACATTTGCCAACTATGGGTGTAACCCTGTGATGTAGCGAAACACAAACAATTCAAGATTGACACCATGTCTCCAGCTGACCTGCTCACTGCAGTCAAGGTGTGTTGTCAAAGTGAACAGCTGATCTGGGTTCAGCTACAGTACCATCCAGTTGGGCTGCTGGTGCTGCTGGACAGGACTGTCTGAGACAATTTTGTCTCAGACAGTATAAAGATGTTTCTCAAAGGTCAGACTGACATGCATTTTACATTTTAAACAGTTTTTGGTTTAATGTCATATCCCTTCACGTCTATAATGTTAATGTAATAGAATAGACGTTGTTTTATTCTATTTATTTACCTTTTATTTTCATTTTATTCCAAAATGGATTAATTGTCACATTATCATGCACATGAGCTGTAGAAATATTTTTAAATAACTGATTTTGAATCCGTATTACAATAAACATTTTACAAATGTCATTTCTTGTCACCGCTCATGATCATCTCTGAAAATATGGATTTAAAAAAAATGTATTTGTTTAAGAATCTCCACAATCATTTCACATTTTTAGGAACCAAACCAACAACTGCAAACTAGGTGAGTGAAGTTCTGTCCTATCTGCCCTGTCTGAACTCCCTGATTGTACAGAGCAAAGCAGCTGGGTAGCTCGTGTGTATCTTCTCCAGGCTCTGGAATAGTTTGGCCTCCCATAGCAAGGGTCAACACGTTTACCAGTATCTCTTTGTGCTGTACTCTCATTCCATAACAAGTGACCGCTTATCCCCTGTTGAAGCATGTGGGAATAACGTGTAAATCAGCACTGACACTTTCACATCCAGATGTGTCATACTTAAAAAGACAAACAGCTGGGAGAAAGTGTCTGAGAAAAAGAGAGACATTATCACACAACACAATGATTGAGCGACTATCTCTCTGTGTGGGTCATTGTGTCATGACAACAGCTGGAGAGGCTCAATAGGAGTCCCTTCACACATTTCCATCCTACCATGCAGGATATCTACGCCAGTGTCCAGCAGCAGAAAAGAAACTGGTAGGCTGTGTGGCTTTAAAAGGCACCACAAACCAGCATCTCCCTAAGGTGTCCCTGAGTGGGGCCAAACGCTCCAGAAAATGTTCACCCCCTCCTCCATATGTTTATGACCCCTGAGGTCCCAACGGGCTCCAGACAAAGCAAAATGATGTGTGGGGAGACGGAAAGCAACTCGCCGGGCTCTAAAAGTGCACAGAAAAGGGGTGATTAAAGTGTCGGAAAGAGGCAGCCCGTGGTGATAAGTGAGGTGGCATGGGATCAGTTTTCTCAGAGCGTGGCAGGATTAGCAAGCAGTCAGTCAACTGTAATGGGGTGCACATAGGAACCGTATGGCATTTTAGGTGCATGCTGCACTCTAGGCCCCTGGTAAATGGTAATTGTCCTGACCCTACTTTTGCAAAGTGATGAATCTTTATGGAGTTCTTAGATGACTCCATGCATCCATAAGTAGCGCTTATCCACCCTTTGTATTGGCTATGCTGCAATACCTAGAGATCCACATTTCAGTAGCTGAGATATTCAATCATGTTATTGTCCAACATAAAATCCCTCATATTAATTCTCAGAGTTATGGGTGTAGTTGAGCAAGTCAAATTCCTTCTGC